CGAATCCGAGTAAGATCTTACCTTTTTTTATTAAGATATTCTTATGAAGTGTTTAGATTTATTTGCTGACGGTGATGATTTTTCATGGGAAACAATACAAAAAAATCGAAATATTTACTATCAAAAACAATTAGCAAATCAAATCAATGTTCAAATGACCAAGTTAATCACATTCTTGACTTCATCAATATGTACCCATTTAAATATCGGACAAGACTTCCATATCGAAACTTCACAAGTAGTCATGTCGTTAGAAACCAAATCGAGTCAATCACTTTCAAATCCATTCACAAAACCAATTGTAAATGGTCAAATTCAACTTCCTTCAAATTTCGATATATATCTGAATAATAGCGAGAAGGTCTCGATTCGAGTGAGTTTAATTTTAATTTAGAAACGAATTTCTCAATGAGCTATTCGTTTAGTCAATAATGGAACCATTAGCACCACTTGGAAGTTCATTATCAACGTTCAATACTAACTTTTCTCGATCGATCTCATTTTCTATTCTTGATCGAAATCAAAATGAAATATCCGTTGAAACGTTGCCGAATGAATTCATTGAACTCATTATTCCCCGAGATCCCAATATGATAACTCCACCAATGACATTACAAAACGTCACATCCATGAATTCAACTCCTCATCAACTCATCTTTCATTATCATTATTTCAATCTTACGGCGTTACTTCCGATCTCAATTCATTGGGAAATTCAACCATTGAATACAAATGTTGCTTATTTATTCGTTTATAAATTTGATGGAATACCTCAACTAAATAGTTCGTTGAACCAAATCGATGGATGGACTGTTTTCTGTCCTTCTCAGTTAACAAACGAAAGTATTTATGAATATTTTATTGACAATCAACATACGACAAGTCATCAGTATGTTGTGTCTGGTCTACGACAATTGAATTCGACGGAGATTCAATACAGTTGTTCAAATTCTTCGATGAAGAATCTTCCAATCACCAATCAACGATTCAATTTTACATCAAATTATCAGATGAGAGTTTATACTTCAGGTTGTTATTATCTCGATGACAATAATCAATGGAAATCAGATGGATTAGTTGTTGGTTCATTGACTAATCATTATCAAACACAATGCTTTTCCAATCATTTAACAAGTTCTCTTGTTTGACAGAAATTACCAATTGACCGAACTCTTACATTTCTCAATAATGACTTTATCAAGAATAAAACATTCTTTGTGTTTTTTTTTCAGTTATATTATTCTTATGACAAACATCAGAATATTATAATTGCATCGTTCTCTATATTCATTTTAACGGCTTTTGTTTTGTTGTACAGTATCGCTTCTACGTAGCTTGACTTTCGGAATAAACTTTAAAGAATAATATCGAGATGGTAACTCTGCTACTATGCTGTAGCATTTACTTTAGTCTGATTGCCATGACAAGATGGAATCGATCATGAGGCTAGAATGTTTTTCTTTGTCGGGACAGACGACGCACGCATACTTGAGATTTTCATCCCCTAGACGGTCTTATCTTTACCGAATGGGTTTACAACCAAACTGCAAGATAGAATAAGTATCTCCTGATCGGGATCTGAACTTTCTAACATAGATGCATCCAAATTTCAAATTTGTACCTTTTGTTTTCAAGTTAAGTATTTTATGGGACACCATATCTCGAGAAAATCTCAAAGAATAAAAACAACCAATTATGACGAAGGTCGTATTTTATTTCAACGTTTTAAAAACATATTTTTGTTAAGAAATTTGTTGCTTGAACACGATTTTTCCGTTTATAAGAATGTGTAAATTGAAGTAATTGAATAACATTAATCAAAAGACAACATAGACCTATCAATATTAATTTCGTCGGTGCAGAAATGTTCATTTTAACAATTATAAAGGCTGTGATTACGAACGCCGAAGATCCAAGAAGTAACAACACAAGTAAAGTCAATCCCCATCGTTTTCGTGACATACGACAAGCTATTTTAAAAACATAACAAAATAGTGAAGATACACTTGAACAAACACCAAGTTGGTTGAGTACAGAAAGAGTATCTTGTTCATTATATATAAAAACGAAACAGATTGCATTTATTGAGGTCGAATTTGAGAATATTTCATTAGGTGCACAAGAAACTTTGGGATATTCTCTAGATGTCTCCAAAAGAAAGCAATCGCTCATAGATGATGGGCAAGAATCATTGCTTGATAAACGTGCGACATGAAAGACACATCCATCGATAAGTAACAGAAAACCAATCCATGCAGTAAATGCTAATTGAAAGATCATAGAGAAACGAAAACGCCGTGAAGAGAAAAGATTGATATTAATACCATAAAAACTGAGAATTTCTTTTTGGTTATGTAGTTGATTAATTTCAAATAATTTTCCCATTAATTCAGTTAATATTCGATTTGATATCAAAAGAAATAAACATATTTCGAGAATAAATGATAAAAAATGACCTCCAAATAATATCAGTCTATAATGATCGAAATCTAATCCCATTATTTAGAATAATCTAGAAGATAACATAAACTCACATGAAATCCAAATCAAATGATCAATAAGGCTGAAACGGCGTATTTCTTATATGTCATTCGACTAAAGAAGAAATTTACATATATTTAGATGAATATCAGTTGACAAGACATTAATATACGAATTGAAAAAGTAACGTAAATCCATATAAAGAACGAATTTGAATAGATTTTCTTCGTCTGTTGTCATCATTAATCAATCTTTCGTCACAATCGAAACGTCAAACGTTTTACATATTTTGATTTGATTCATCCTTCAAGTTGTTTGACCGCGAGTCAAGTCAATAATGGAGTTAATTTCTCACCCGTCAAGAACGAACTTTCTAGGTTAAATAGTGATTCGATGACTGTTCACATTTTCTAACAAACTTCCAATAATGGTTGAAATGAATCCTATTTGAACTAATATTTACACATAATATCGAATCAGAGGTCAACATAGGGTAAATATATCATATAATAAATATGTTAACACAGTTAAAATTTGCACGCTAAATCCTATTCAAATAAATTTAAATCAGCGACAGCGTTATTTTGTAAATTCATTTAATGAAAATATAAAAATTTTATTATGAAAAGAATTCATTAAAATTTGACGCTTCAGAACCATTTTCAAAAACATATGAGATTCAAATTCACACAAGATATACTACATTCGAACAGTACATATGATTAAAAAAGGATTATAGTAAACACGAGAGAGAAAAGGACGATAGTGGTGAGGATAATATCTTTAATAACATACAGTTTATCTCTTAAATGCGACAATCTGACAAACAATACTTTGTCTAATCCAAAGATAACGCTGTTTTTGTTTGTAGCTAACATTACCGATCATAATGGTTTATTTGGTTTTATGCCACTTTAGTAATCTATAAACCTATCGGTTTGACTAAAAAGAATCCTTAGCAGCAATGATTTTTCTTCTTTTAATTTATTCGATAATGTTGTTAGAGATTTTTCATTAGTGATAATCGAATCATAATCTCAACATCTTTTTCATCGTTTCAACACGATCTGATTGATTCATCACAACAGTACCTCTACATTTGTCAGGTCTTGTAAATTTATTTGGAATATCTTTGGCAAGCGACACTTCAGAGTCAGATGAAGCATCAGTTATGTCTAAGCTTGATAAATTTGAGATGTGTTTTCAAACACTCATACTTTAAATAGATTTAATATGTAAATAAAGTCGCGCTGCTTTAGTACTTTTGATGTTCGCATTTTGATTAAATCCGTTCGATAAACTTCATATTCAAATAAACAAAAATCTTCATCAGATAAACTTACTATTCGTATCATAATCTGATTCACTAGTTTTCTCCTCTCATATCCGATGTGAAAGTCGACAGGCAACAATTTGCGAGATGATTCTGCTTTAAAATGTTCTTCTCTAGATTAAATTTTCTAAATAGATCAACTTCAGTTCAGCAATCAACATGCTTTTTCCAGATTCGGGAAAGTTTCTGATGTTTTTTATGACAAGAAACCAAGAGAACATAACAAATCACCTTTGCACAAAGAACAGGTGTATTCAAATAGAGTGCATCTCTTAAAAAAGTACATTTTTTTCAATCACTAAACAATGAACAATTCAGATGGAAATAGAAATAGTTGAAAAAATGATTTCTTATGCTGGTTTGTTTCCATTGAATTAATTAGAATTTTATATATGTTAATTATCTGTTTAAAACGATTCAGGAATGTTTGTAAACATTAAAATCTCAAAACACAAAAACAGTGTTTATTTATTGTAGATTCACACAATATGAAAAATAAGTTCAGTAAAGATGAATTTATGGTGATGGAGAAGTTGGTATTGTGGTTAATGGAATTGATCGTATTCGATTATTCATTGGTTTAAATTTGCAAAAATATTCTTTCAAGTGTTTTCGAAATGTTCGAGAACAAAATAGATAAATCCAAAATGATCCTCCACTTGTTAAAAGCGTCAATAAAGTAAGAATTATGAGAATGAGAGTTTCATAACTTGATTTCAAAGGTGTTTTACTCACCGACTGTGTCATCAGCATATAACAGACAAAAATACCTGTTGGAATCCCACTCAACAACATACTACTCATTTGTATGAGCATCATACGAGTAACGACACCTTCGATGGTAAGTTGGCGTCGTAAAAATTGTTGAAAATTATATCATGTCAAACCAAATAAGACTAATGTCAATAAAACTGGCAGAAAATAATAACCCACTATTGCGCAATAACTTGTATATACATTGATAATTCGAATTGAACCTTTGCAAACAGATATCGTCGGTGTAATTTCATAAATCGTGTTGGATATTAACAATGGACTAAATATTATAATATGAATCGTCGCTGTAGATATGATAATCGATTTTGCTCTTGTTCTTGTTAGTAATCTTTGCCAATTTGGATTCGGTGATAATATCACAAATTGGCACAGTCCTGCAAAACAGTAACACATGAAACTAAAACAACCACCAGCACATGTTAACCAAGGAGTTATTTTACAAAAAAGTAATAATCAATTCACTAGATCAAATCCAGTAAAAATTCGAATCATATTTGTCCACAGACCAACGTTTATAAATAACAAACTGCCGATTGCTGCACCAACTAAAAACAGTGCATTGGGATGTGGGTGAGGGTGAGGGTGTGGGGTGTGGGTGAGGGTGTGGATGTAGGTGAGGGTGTGGGTGCACATGAAAGGAGGATTCTCATCTAACCTCATGATGGTTGAAATGAAATAGGCTGATGTGCTACTCGATAAATACACTGTTCTTCTTTGTATCTAAAAGCTCGTTCGAGTACATTATAAGATTCCAAAATTGTGACCGTTATGATCAGTCATAAATCGTTGAACACGGCTATCCGATTGATCCTCCATTTACTGTAATGGAACACTATAGTGATTGTTGGGCGATAGGAAGGCGGCACTGATGTTACTAATGTAAGCATATATTGGATTGTCCGATTGGACAAATGACGTGCTAGTTGTATTTTGTTGCTCGCGACGAGTGTAATGTTTCTGTCACGTAATTAATTCGATCTGCATAGATAAATCTTAATGAACATAAGTTGACATAATCGTTCATAATTAACATATGAATACAAGTAAGAATGCTTTTCTCAAACAAAATCCCTTGCAATTATAGCTATTGAAAATAATTTTATTGATTTACAAAATACTTTCATCTAACTAGAAAACTCCTATTCAAACTGAATGGGACGACTTCATGTCAATGAACGTATTTCTGATATGTGATCATGAAGCATTTCTAAATAAACGCCATTCGTCCATCCAAAACCCTCTTGAACTTGATATTCTCCTCCACTCGCTAACTTATCGATATTCACAACATCGTATTTCTCCATCATTTTTCCAGTTTCTACAAAAACACGTTCATTCAAATTCATCCATCGTTGACGAATCGTTTGAGCAAGTTTCTTATACTGAGGATATCGAAGTAAACTACGATAAGTAATGAACTGAAGTGGTGCCCATCCATTCGGGTAATCCCATTGCTGTGAACTTTGTTTTGCTATGGTCGTCACAAGACCCCCATCATACAAAAACAAAGATTCAGTTTGCTCAGCCACGTGTTTCACTTGGTCTTCTGTTGAAATATCCAGCCACAAAGGAAACAGACCAGCGAGGGTGACACGGTCTGTTGGTTTCTTTTGAATAAAATCATAATCTGTAAAAAATTGCCGCTTATCTGACCACATATACTTTCGAATAGCTTGACAACGACGTTTTGCTTCATCTGTTTTTCCTATCGATAATTCTAAATGATATAACAAACAGTTGAGATCAACGGGAAGGAGATTTGTAATCATAATTGTTGATAAATCACTTTCATCTTCCATCCATCGTGAACTAAAATCCCATCCACATTCACCAGCTGCTGTTAAATCCAAATAAATATTGACATTCTTGGATTTTCTCGCTGTCTGAACATCTTCA